TAGGATGAAAATCGTTAGGTTAGGTTAGGATGTTGTAGATAGAAATAATATTTTTTATTGCTTACATTCTTACATACTTTTTATTTTTAATTGCTTAAATATTTACATATCTTTTATATAGATTTCCAGTGAAAGATCCGAATCAAACTCAACAATGGATTGATAGAATATATGCGTTTTTGGAAATGCATAATTGTAAACCAGAAAGCTTAAAAAAGAAAACAATCTGTTTTATGTTCCAAACATTTCCTTAATAGCGATTACCTTGTTACAACAAGTAGCCGTATGTTGAAAATTCCAGCATGTCCTTCAGTCTTTTTGGTAAGTTATATATAATAGCGCTAAGGTTTTTCTGATAAGTAGATTTTAGGTTGGTTGATTGGTGCAAAATTGGCTCAGCGGACTGGATACAGCTAGTCCATACATCATTCTATGTATAAGTATGATTCTAAACTAAGAACCAAGGTTTTTAGAATCTACTTATTGTTCTGTCTAATTATAAAAAAACTCAAAATCTTATAGTACATGAGATAGGCAGATATCAGATAGTGTAAATGTCAGTCTGTTTGAATTTGATGAGTTTTAAATGCAATTACAGGCTATTACAGTAGCATTTTAATGTATTACAGTGCGTGCCTAATGCTCCAAAACGACGGAACAGGCAACCTAAATCCAGTTCTGAAACACCTGAATTTCATCGATTGCATTACATTCTTCTAAAAGTGAAGATAAATGAACTGGAAGGTAAAAAAGTAATGGCTACAGTGCAAGAAGAAGAAAACAAANAGGTAAGTGAAGTACAAAATGAAAAAATGCACATTGAATAATTTTTTTGATGTGTCTGTTACAAAAACTAACTTGTATATATAATTCATAATTTTTATTANTGGATAGTCTTAATATTATAAGATGTGACACTATCTTTCGCAGAATGTCTCTAAAANTACAAATGGTGCATTTAAATTTCAGAATGGTTTTTCGAAACGTTCAATTTATCTAAAATAATCGATTATTGNCAAATTTTTTTCGTGTCTTAATTATTGCTTGTAACTATTGGAGTCATGATTTATTTCTGTTTGCAGAATGCGTGCACCGGATGCTTGACACTGGAAAAAAAAGTCCAGAC